CCAAATTCTGCATCATAGTCATGAACGGAACCCAATTCTTCACAAACACAAGTATCGAGGTTTAGAATAGAGTCCTTATCTGCACAATCAGTACTATTAGTTATATCACATAGTTTGTGAGGTGGGTGAATTTTCTTGCAATACTAGAGTACACTGCTTCAACTGTACATCAGCTTCTTCTATCTCAGTATCACATGAACTTTCAGATGGTTCAACACTTGCTGACTGCGTTTTCATAATTTCACTATCAGTTTCGAAGAACTTAACAGTCGCATTTTCACTTTCTTTCACTTGCACTTGAGAATCAAAAGCTTCTTTCCCGTCTTTTATTTCTTCATTTTTTCGTTAATCCCGTTAGATGGTTCATCCATCATTTCTAGATCTTTCTCAAGCAGTTTGTTAGTTACTTCCATCATTTCTTCATCCTTTGATTCTGCAGAAGCCACTTTTCTCATTTCCACATCATCTTTTATGGCTCCAGTTTCTTCTGCAAGCTCCACTTTCACCTGTCGGAGTTGCTCTCGCACCTTTTCTTGGCCGACATTTATTTCTTCTTGTCCAGCTTTCATATCAGCTGCCATCTCTTAATATCAAGCTTTTATCTCATCATATCCGGCTTTTCTCTCAACACATCCGGCTTTTATCTCAGCATATCCGGCTTTTATCTCAGCACATCTGACTTTCAACTCTTTCTGTCCGGCTATGATCTCGGCTAAAAAGTCCATCAAAGTCTTCGTTTCTTCCGTCATGGCTTTCCTGTGCAGGCGTGTCACTGGCATTCACTCGCAAATCGCACTTCTGACACCAGTTGTTACGTTTTTCTTCTTCTGACACCAGTTGTTACGTTATTTTCTTCCTTCACGTCCGTAGGAGATTCGTGTGGATTTGGAGTGAATAATAACGACACTTGATGATGAAGTATCGAAACACACTTTATTTAGCAATTATTAATCAGGACAGCTCCAAAACACTTTTACAGTCGTCGAAGATCTACTATAAACACGCTGGAACAATCAGCCACACAGCCTTCACACTGTCAGGCAATAACAGTGGAAACAGCTTCACTGCAAAGCACCAGAGTACAGCTCCCGACTCTGCTCATTCGTTCTCAGAACTCCACGTACTCTCGAGACTCTCCACGCCACAACTCGCGATGCATTCGACGACACACAGAGCACAGCTCCCGACTCTTCGGTTCAGTCGTTCCCGGAGCTCAACACGCTCTCTCGACAATGCACTAACCGCGATACACTACGAGACTCTTTCGGTGCACTGGACGACCTACTCGGCACTCGCTGCCCGGCTGTCAACTCGATGGACTGCGCAGGGATTGACTTGGTAGAGACAAGACACCAACTCGATACTAACTAACTCGCACTCCAGACGAGGCACTCTGACTTGCCCTCTCGATGAAGCACACTCACACTGACTGCGGACTAGCAGGGTTTATATAGCTTTCGGCTTGTGTTCGAGAACATTCTGGGCTAAACGGGTAAGAATTCGTTTCAGAAGATTCTCCATCCGTCCATGATATATCGTCAATTTTGTCGCCAAATGGGCGATTTCTCTTCAAGTGGGGCAACCCTAAAACTGCTTTGCGGGGAAGCTATCTTACCGCGACTGGACATTGCGTAACAATATATCGTCATAAAATTTTAACTGATATTTTGACTCAATTTGACATTTCACTGAAAGTCGTAAAAATTTTGAAAGCTGAAGTGCCTAGTTATGCAAGATGGAAGAACGGGGAGAGAAAAGTTTTGGTTTCCAAATTATTACGTCATCAGAGCTGCGCAGGCCATAGAACGATCTAGAATTGACGTAATCGAGAGAAGTTATTACGAACTTTAGAACAGAGAGGGAGAATTAAAAGTTTTACCGTTAGTTTAAATTATAATTTTGATTCACATATTTTTTATCTTACATAATAATTTTTGCTTCAGATATGTAATTTAAACTGAAAATCACGATCATATATTTCTCATGGAATGTCAGAATTAATTTGTATTAAAAAATGCATGAGGAATGAAAATCAATCGGAAAATACTTCTTGATTATGTATTACCAGGTTTTAGCAGTTCTGCCTTTATGTGTTCTAGTCAACCAGATTTATTAAGTGCAGACAATACAGTGTAAAAATACTGAAAAGTACCTTGTTTTAGAATATTTAGTTTCCTTAATCAACTGAAATATCATTTTTCATATTCTAATGCTTTCCTTTAAGAAAAGGATGCAAGTTTTACAATTATTTTAGATCGTACGAATTCTGAGTATAAAATAAACATTTGTTTTGACAAAATACTTAATTGGAAAGTATATATCCGGTATTTCCGATTTACCCTCTTTTCCATAAAGAATAATATAGAGGCAATAAAGAATAATATAGAATAATATAAAGAATAATATAGAGAAAAAAGGCGGCACTAATTTTTTTTATTAGAAAATGTTTATAATTATGGCACAAATTCGACTGATTAATAAGGATTTCATGTAAAACTCAAAAGTTTGTGGTCTTAGTTATAAAATCTGAAATAAGAACCAAAAGTAGATAAGCATAAATCCTAAGCTGCCAGAAAATCGGACCTTGAAGAAGTGGGAGGAAGACTTTTTTAATGACATTAAGGGTCATAGAAAATATAACCATCTTCATAATTCATAGGGGTTCCAGAATCCTCTGTCTCCCCCCCCCTCTGTTATCTTGAAAACTGAAAATTTAGTTGGATCATGTGTCAGTTAAAAGAATATTTTAGAGGTGAGAAGGAAATTATAGTTGGTATAAGTTCTGATTACCTACTTTTTGTTGCATTAAATATTTTTCTATTGCAGGTATGTCAATCAGCATAGCAAATGCGTAAAAAGTTGCTTTTCGACTAAGCAAGAAACGTAAATTTCAGTAGTGCAGATTTTAGCAGCCTGAATTTTATTTCGTAATCAGATTTTTAAAATAGTTGTCTTTCATTTACTTTTTGATCAAATTTCTTGAAACGAGAAATTCGTTCAAGCATCTCTCTTAAATTTCTTAAGACATCCCACAGGAAAGGTTTAAACGTTAAATCATCTTTTTTTATTTATTTATTTCCAATGACGGGCACTGGCCATTATAGAATACTAAGGCCGGAAAGCCACTACTAAGGCTGGAAGCGGCGGTCACTTTGTTATAGAGGCACCTATAAGGTGGGCCACCGTTGCCTCCTTTGATGGGGCAGACAATTTACAGTTATGCCTTTTTCGGAAATCGAACCCGGGCCCTTCGGTAGAGGGGCCCGGGTTCAATCAGAGTCACTAACCCTTTCCCATATGGGCATCATGGCTTTAAATCTTTGCTTAGGTTCAGGTATGTTTCATTTTAGCCTTTTGTACTGAGCATTAATTTGCAATTAAAACAGATTTCAGCTCATAGTTTAACTTATTAAAAGCAATAAAATATGTGTTGGTATATTCTGATGCGTAGTAGTTAAGAGAAGAATAAGTGTTCCTGTTGTACATGGTTTTTGTCGCAAAAGACACAAAATATGAATTCCTATTTAATAAAATACAGGTTAAAAAAGTTCTTTGTGCAATAAGCTTTTATTTAATGTGGATATGACAATGCATTAGAAAGAGAAAAGTAATTTATCATATATTTTAATGGGAATAATATATTAAATAATTTTATTTACTAAATTCATGTGCAATTTTATACCGCGAATAATAAAAGTGTCGTGCGCCTAATTAGAAAGCCTATTAAATGAATTGCATTGTTAAGTAAATGAGTAATTATCATTTTAAATTGTCCATTAATTTACATTAACACCATTCTGGATCATGTCTTTTTTCCGGACCGCACTGATCAAAACACCCTCACACAACATGAAATAAAAATGTCAACTGAATATCCCAAATCAAACGACGATGTACCTTTCACAAAGAATGAATTGCTACATATAGTCAAAGCACTGAACAATAAAAAGGCACCGGGCCCAAATGGTATTCCCAACAAAATACTAAAATTCATATGCCAAGTTAATCTTTCTAGCCTTCTGAACCTTTATATTAAATGTCTTAAACTCCACTGTTCCCGGATTGCTATAAACAAGGACAGATAATCCTCTTTTCAAAAAAGAACAAAAATCCAGAAGACCCTTACTCGTACCGACCCATAAAACTACTACCAGTCATGAGAAAACTCTTGGAAAGATTGCTGATCAACAGAATCAAACATCACTTATACAAAGACAACAAAATCAGTATGCATCAATATGGCTTTAAGCCTAAGAGCTCAACTATCCATGCACTTTCCTAAATTCATAGCAATAAAAGCAACCAAATACAGTCAGCTCTCATGTGCCTGGATTTAAAGAAGGCATTCGTCTCTTTCTGGTGGCCAGCTGTACGGCAAGCCCTCAGAGAGATGCAATGCCCAAGAAATCTATACCTCTTGACAAACGACTACCTAGAAAATAGAATCAGCCTAATTGTTCATAACAACACTGTGATCTCACGAAAGCAAGAAAGAGGATGCCCTCAGGGGTCATGTATGAGCGCAGACCTCTGGAACCCCATTACCTTCAATAGTATCATTGATCAAAACTGGCCAAGCCCCACCAGAATTGTCGCCTTTGCTGACGATGTAGCGTTAATTGTACGAGGCAGCAAGCGGGACCAGTTCCAGGATAAATGCAACACCACGCTCAGCTTATTTAATGACCTCTGCAATAGTTTAAAGCTAGAAATTTCACATATCAAATCCCAAGCACTAATTTGTCATAAACCTGGATAAACATTAACAAGGAATCCTATCCTGCGAATTTGTGAAAATAGATTAAAATGCGTCAAAACTATCAAGTATCTTGGTCTAATTATAGATCAAAAATTTACCTGGATACCTCATCTCCAAGATAAAAAATTAACAACCCTCAAAATGGCACACCCACTAAGGTAAATGCGAGGTTACTTCTGGGGCCTCAACTTCCATATAATGAAAATGCGGTTCACAACAGTCGTAAATAAGACCATCACGTATGGGGCTGCCAAAGACGGCCAGGAAATTTCGCATTTTCAATTCCATCCAGCGTCCATTCTTAATAAACATCACCCTTGCATTTAAAACAACCTCCACCAACGCCCTACAAGTTCTGGCAGGTGTGATTCCTTTGCCACTTCAAGCTGAAATTGAAGCACTGTCCTCCAAAATTCTTCATCTGAAGAAATCTGCAAGTTACGATGATATCATCTTCAATCCACAAGACTACGAGGATACACCACGGAAATACATTAGACACCCGAGTAACTTTCTTCATAACCTGCACTGCAACCTCAACAACCCTCCACCATCTACTAAATTCACAGCATATACTGATGGATCGAAGACAGAGGACAAAGTAGGCTGCGGAGTCACTATAAATTCCGGGACAAGTACCTACACTGAATGGCAAGGTGTCCTCAAACACGAAAACAGCATATTTCAAGCTGAGCTTACAGCCATTCTGAATGCTATCAAGCTACTTCTACCAACACATACAGACACCATTCATGTGATTACTGATAACCAGTCATCTATCTGTGCTATCAAACAACAGTTCCCAAACTCACCAATTGCATATCTAATTCAGGATTTAATACTCAACAGCAACAACAAATTTATAATATCATGAACTAGAGGTCATAGCGCTTTTGCAGAAATTGAACGCGCTGATCTCTTAGCAAAAGACGCAGCTATCCACCAAATGGGCAGTCCAATCTCTATCCCGTAGCCAAAGTCAGCATTGAAATGCAAGCTGAAACAACTTGTAAATGCACAATGGCAACATCAATGGGACCACGGACAACAAGGAAGACGAACATATGAATTCCTCCCTAAAGTAGATGAAAAACATCACTTTTTCATCCTACTTCCTTTCCCAGTACATCTCGGGCCATGGCCCATTTCCACTCAACTTCTACAAAAGACACAAAGCCTCCTCTTACAGATGTATTTGCGGAAGCAACGGAGACCCAGAACACTACATCTTCAACTGTCCAATGGCATCTGTTCACCATATCCGTCACCCAGGCAACCCAAGTCTAGAATTCAGGCGATTTCTAATCAAGCGCAGAAAAACATTTAGTCAAATAAAGAACATTATCGACTACCTCCACAGACAAAGACTCAATATGTGCCACCTTTAATCTTCAATCCTTTCATTCTGCAATAATTTCAGAGTGCCATTGTTATCTCCACCAAACACACACTTCTAGCGTGCCTTCAGACTTCATTCATATCTGTGCCTTACCTCCATACTATGATATTGTATCTATTTATTATTACGAACTTTATTGTATCTCACCTACCTATTAACATTACCATCACCAAATGTAACAATATGCAACTATGTATCCAAATGTATAACATATGTATGATTGCATGTCACCTTGTTTAATTCTCAATAAATACGAAAAGGTAGTACATCAGGGCAATACCATTTCTTGCTCAGTTCGATGATATGGTGCCCCTGTACTTGTTCCTGTCCTGTCCATTAATTTAGTTGTATTGTCCAATGTACCAACATGATGTTTTTTAATTTATCGTGCGCACTAGTTTATTGTTAAATTACTTTTAAGTTCTCACCGCAAGTAGTCGATGCTGTTGTACGCACGTAAGTCCGTTCCTTTCTGTAAAAGACTTGTTAATAATAAAATGGTTAGTGAAAATATATTTATGGGTGCCCTTGGGCGATAATTGGCGAGTTTGGGTGGTACATGGACACCGAGTTTGAGCAATTCAAAAGTCAAAGGAGCAGACAACAAAAAATATATAATCTCAATAAACTACATTTTAAATTAAACAATGAAATAACATAAAAAAGGAAATTCATCTTAACACTACACACAGGAAATATCCACTTACCTATTTACCTTATTTACAAATTTCTGAATATTCAGTCAAACAAAATTCTTTAACAGCATCCAAAAACGTCCTAAAATTGTCTAAACTAGAATCTGTATACTAGCGTCGCCGCATAAATTCACAAAAATAAGAGTAAAAAATATCTTCCGTAGTGCCATTTTTCTCCGACGTTCGACCATACGCATTTTCCTTCCTACAAACAGGACACTTATAATGGCTACTAAGTAAACCTTCATTTACACACCACTCAATTCATGCTTTTTTCCTTCTCGTTCCACATCGTACAGAAACTTCAAATTAATCTTACCACATTCAGCCATTTTACCGTGTAAACCAAAAAATAACAACGTACTTCTTATCCAAAATCTGACACACAAGCCTTTCCAAATCTTTTCCCATCATTCAAATGGTAGGGTACGAACTGCGCCAAATTTGATCGAAAATCCCGGTCTCCAATCTTTCCTAATCCACGAACTGCGCGATGTTTCCTGTCCCCCATTTCTTTCCAAGAAGTTTGGGTGCTACAAAAAGTCGTTTATCGCCATTAATGGGGCATTCTATTGAGATTGCAAGCCTTTATTTTCGTTTATCAATATCGTAAAAAAGTGCATGTAAAACAAATATTAATTTAAAGTCTGGCCAGTGCTAAAAAATAAATTTCTTTTACACTCATTTTAAAGTTTTATGATACTTAAAGGAATGATGAGCCAGATCTTTTTTAATTCTCTGTAAGAATTAAAACTTCCAAATTGTAAATTTTTTTAGTCGCTGATATATATATATCAGTTTTTGAATAGTAAAATTGATAGATTAATGACATACACAAAACTGATGCATATCAACCTATCAAATATCGGATTTGTAGCTCACCTTAAATAGTTTCTTGTCTAGATATAAATATTAACAAATCTTCTTAGACAGCAGAATGGTTTTAACCTTCAAATTTACCATTTTAGGTAAACAGTTCTAATTTAATTATAAAAATTATCTTTATTAAATCTAAAATTGACTTCTTAGTCGTTCTAAATTCACACACTAATATTATTGCAATATATTCCGTATAAGGTTTCCATTTTTAATCATTGAAAGTTATTTTAAGGTTATTTAACGTTGTTACAAATTCCATATTTTAATACTAGATTTTATTATATTTAATACTAGAAACGAACTTTTAAAAATTCCATATTCTAATACTAGAAAATATTTATTCTGTTTTCCACCTAATGTACTTTTGGCATACATTTAATTCTTAATACCATTAATTAATAAATTGATAATTATGAGCGTCAGCAGAATTTTCATAATTAACAAAAGCAAAACAAAACAACAACAACAACAAAAACCCTTATATTCATATCCTGGGATTTTCAGTTCCCTTTGAATCCATTTCTTTTTCACACATTGTTACACTGTACTCAAGTTTTCATGTATGTAGAATTTATATACTTTGAATTTGATTGTATTTATGCCAATTTAGATTTAAATGATAATTTTTACAAATTCTTGCATCACACCTCTAATTAACAGAAGATGTTTCTAACACCTAGGCAAAGCTTAATCTTCAGCATGTAGCTTATTTTCCAACCTAGTTTCAGGCTGACTTATTTGTAAATTAGTTACTTGAAATTATTGTTAACAAGTGGTCGCTTAATCACGCTAATAATTTCTAACTGTTGCTTTATAATGCAACAATTCATACGATTTATAATATAATTCTTTATAATTTTTTCAGCAGTATTGAAATTACAGCAGATACTGAAAGTTATACTTTGATTAGAATGATTTAGTTGCCATTTTGCCTTCTTCACTCATGCTTTTATGCTACTTCCTAATATTTCATACTGGCATACAGGTAGTTAACTTATTCATTAAACAGTAAATCTCTATTCAGCCCAATTTTGTTTCTTACGTGTGCTATTTTCTTTAATATAACTGTTCAGCCTAATTTCAAAGGTCTTATGATCAAGCGGAAAAGTCACTAACATTGGTAGTTCGACCCGAGTTTCTAGTCCCAGTGATCCCCTAACTCTTTCTTTTTTGTACTTATTTACTGTGTAAAATGTATAGTAAAAAAATTTCGGTTCATGAAGTAAAAATACTTTTAAAAAATTTATTCTTTAAAAATATTGCAAATTTTTTTCAACCTTAGCGTGTTCTTTTTACAAATCCCTCTTATAAGAAAAAATAAGGAAGAATTAACTTCACGTTTCGGTGATTGATACCTCAGTGCAAATTATTGTAACTTTTTTCCAAAGCATAGAGTTTATATGGATATCAATAAATTATGGATTATTTTCTCATCTAATTTCTTAACCATTTTTATTCCCAGAATTTTCCTTTCACACGGAGTGTTTAACTTTATGCGTTTTTTTATAATAATTTAACATTTGTTTATAATTTTAACGCGAATGAAAGTGATTATTTAATTGTATAAGCTTTGCTGAAAGATAAACGAGAAACAAAATTCTATCACTTGCGGTCAAGAGAGTGTTTGATGTATAATTATTATATATTTTCTTTGATAGTTTTTAATTTCTTATTTTTTCATTTATTCTTTTCATTAGTTTTTCTGTGCCGCTATGTCCGTATTTCAGTTTCAAGGAATGCGTACTCCGTGTAGGGTATAATAATGCTAATAACTTATGATATGAAAGAGATCTAATTCTCTTCTCATTTCTGCTGTATTTTTTAAATTTCAACCCTAAGAAATTACTCTAGAAATCTTAAACACTTATTTTCCTGAATAAATTCCAGAAAAGATTATAAGCATGACTTAATTCGCAATAATATAAAAGAAGGCGTTATCTTTGTTGTTGCCGAAGCTTAGTTTCTCTAGATTGAACAAATCCCTATTCATTTATAAAAAATATATTTCTTTATTTTTTTTTCTCTTGGCTACAGTTGGCTTCGAAAAAAAAATTGTAACCCTGTGGCAACGGGAAAAGAAATTTTGATCGGCGCAGTTGGACTATCTCAGGACGAGGGGGGATTTTCATCAGCGCAGTTGGAGTACACCCATTCAAATCCACCGCAATCAAGAAACCAATTACGTCATAGTAGGGTTTTCATAACATTCAACTACTCAGGTTATCATGAATGAAACAAAAACTTAGCGATAATCCAAAAGGCACCTTTAAATCTAACTCTAACCAAATGGTATTTTACACCCTTTCCCTGTTGTCCTCATCTTCACGCCTGCGCGAGAATTCGTAAGGTTTGACATCCAAGTAGATCTAATCACACTCTATAATAGCCAAGAAGATTAGATCTTATATACTTACCAAAACTTGTAGTAAATGCAGCAATTTTTGGGCCCTGGGACTCAGCGAAATTTGCCTATCAGAGTCATAAATTGGCTACTACCATAGTTCTGTATTGGAGATCGCAGTAACGCTCAGTTCTCATTACTTTATTTAGCTTTCCGTAATCAGTACAAAATCTAGTATACTTCCCTGGTGTTTCGATAACGGTCTTAGTTTAAAAATTTTGCATTTTAACTTTTTTTTTTTTTTTTTTTTCAATTTCGGCTTTTTAGAATTTCGTTTTGTCAACTTGCCCATCCTATAAGGCTTATGCTGCATGACTTTGCCACTGATTACTTCAATATCATGTTCGATTAAACTTGTTTTACGCGGAATATTCGAAAATGTAGTAAAAACCTTTACTGACAACTTTCCGAACTGCAGGATTTGCTCATCATCAAATCTGTCTTTAAGATTATTTTTTCCTATTATTTTGCTGAATTCAAAAGTAGCGATGTCAGTTAAC